AAAAGTATGTTTGGGAAAGAATTCTAAGGTCSTTGTATTCTCAAATAACTATTTACTAAAGGGTTAATAGGGACAGAAGAAAATTAGGTTCTATTCAACAGAACAACAGAATGACCATGAAGACATTTTTGAGATCCTTGAGGCAAGTTATAACCTTTAGGGCAAGGTATCCAGAGAGGTGCCTGTGGAACATCAGTGTTTATTGCTCTGAATTGCTCTCCACTTCCTGAATTCCAAATCAGTGCCCCCTAAGTTGTGGCTCAAGCAGTCCCAGAGTCCACCATGTGGTGCTAATTCTGCAAGTGTACAGAATGCAAGAACTACAAGGCCATGGTAATCTACACCTAGATTTCAAAGGATATCAGACTGGTTGGAGGGCAAGGGAGACAGGAAAAGAGATCACAGGGCAGAGCCACTGTAGAGAGCCCTCACTAGGGTAATGCCTTTTGAAACCTTGAGAGTAAGGCAGCCTTTGAGGCCACAGAACAAAAGGTCCACCAGCATGCAATGGTAGCCTGGGAAAGCTGCAGGCATGAGACTTCAAGTCCAGAGAACTGCTGGGTGGACTGAACCCACCTAAGCCATAAGGACAGGGCTGCCTGGAGGATTTGGGGATCAAACGCCCACCCCAGTGTGCACAAAATGTGGGACATGAAGCCCCAGGGGATATTCTCAAGCTTTAAGACTATTATTTTCTGTGCTGTTTTGGGACTTATGCTCCTTCCTTCTTGCCTGTCACTCCCTTTYAAAAAGGAACCGTCCTTCCTATTTCCCACCACTGTATCTTAGAAGCATAGGACTTGTTTTGATCTCAAAAGCTCATAGCTGGAGAACTGGCCTCAGGATGAGTCATGCCTTGAGTCTCACATCTGATTTAGGTGAGACTTTGGAGTTCTTATTCARTGAAACCAAAATTATAGATTCCTTTAAGAAATACAGATCTGATGGTTTTAGTAGTTATAATGTTTTTAATGTAGGGTTAGATATATGTTAAACATAGATGCATTCTCTTCCTCTAAATCACCATATTTACTCAGTAATAGTTTATACTGAAAGATTTTCTTTAATAGCTGTCAATAGTTTCTTTTTTTAATAGCTGTCAATGTCGTTACCAGATTACATTTCTGGTATGAAATCATGACAAGAAGGTACAGGCAGAGTAGTGGGAAGTGATTTAAGTTAGTCACAATGTGTCATCAAAGTCTAAAAATCTACAACTCYAGAAAGCTCTCATTTTTCAGCAGAMAATAGGATAGCAATTAAGTGCAGTATGACCTTGGTCTATTCCTCAGGTGTAAAATGAAAATGATAATTGTGTCTTCTTAATGGTGTCATAAAGATTAAATAAAATGATGGAATGTACGTAAAGCCCTTGCCCTTAATACCATTAATAACAGGGAAATTCCTCAAGGTAGTAAATAGAACCCCAAAACTTCATATTGTGTAAATCCAGTGGTATAAAACAACTATTTTATTATGTCCGTCAATTCTATAGACTAAGAAATTTGGAAGGGCTCCATTGGGCAGCTTTTGCCTGGGTCTGTCATAAGGTTGCAGTCAGAAGTAACAGAGAGCTTAAGACTTGACTGGGTTGGTCATGCAAATAGGTGTCCTCASATGCTGGCATTTGATGCTGTCAACTGGTACTTCAGCTGGGCCTGTCAACCTAAATGTGATCTCTCGATGTGGCCCGGGAGTSGATATGTAGGACCCCCTCAGGGTAGTCAGACTATTCACATGATCCAGAGTCTAAGAAAAGGTGTGAGCTGAATTGCAGTTCCTGACTATCGCTGGAAAACTGGCAGCATTACTTCTGCAGTTTTATTACTTGTGAGAGTAWTTAAGACTAATCCACTACCAAGGGAAGGGGAGGCTGACCCTACCTCTCTAGGGTAGGARTGTCAAAGAATTAGCAGGCTTATTGTAAAGTTGCCCTATAAGATTAGTAAAAATATTTTTAGTCTGTACTGTCTACAAAATAATAATAATTGAAAATGTTGCCTGAAAAAAATCCCAAATGACTTCCAAGGCACTTACTTCCTAATGTCTCTAAAMCCAACCTCACCTAAGAATTTAGCCCATCTTTTTGAGAACAARGGCACTGGGGAAGGTAACACAATTGCCAATTGCATCTGAAACAAATTTGCATTATACCAATTTACATTAGCAATATCATGGGGTTTTACTTATTAAAATTGTAAGCTAGGCTACTCTAACAAAAACTCAACATGATGGCTTCAATTATTTCACATTAACAATACAATGAACTAAGCTGGTAGGCAGCTCTACTCCTTAATATAATTTAGCAATCCAGGTCCCTTCCATGCTATTACTTTGCCATCCCCTAAGACACTGACCTTATCTGCAAGGTTAGCACCTCACTTCCAACTTCTGAGACACAGAGGCAGATCYAGAAAAGCAGCTTATCTGAGGGAATCTGCAGCAAATTGCATCCATGATGTTTCTACTCCCAACCATTGGCCCAAATTGAGCCACATGTCCACACCTTGCTGGAGGGGAACCTAGGAAATATAGTCCCAGGCTGAAAGCCACATTCTCAGGACAGAGACAACAGATTAGGGAAACAATAGTCTGCCCCACAAATGAGAGTAATTATCATTATAATATCCAAACATTTGCATCATTAACAAGCTAATCGAGATACCTTAACTTCCACCAATTTCATCACCCTAAATTAAGATGCCAACTGCAAATGAATCTGAACCAAATGACATGTTTTTGAAAGCATTTACAAATTTCTGTAGGACAGCAATTCTCTTGAAAAAAAAAAACAATCCACCCATTTGAGAGTTCACCTGGACTACTGCATATGAATTACTGTGAGTTCCAAATTAATGTCTGATTGTATCTTAATAGATTAGAAATGATAATCAAGGTAGGGRAAAACAGCTTAACAATTAATTAAGAATCCACAGATAATTGAAACTGGTTGAGAGCAAAATGTGTTCACATTAAAGGCAAGGTGATGCTTTCTCTCATGTATTAATGTGAACATTAGATTGTGTGTAGATTTATGAGCTTTTTTTGCAGATACTGCAAATTTAATGGACTTGAGTGTATTTTTATAGCCCCATTTTCTCCCTTTGAGGGGATGATGCTAAGAACACTGCACAAATGTGTTGCAATATTAAGATGCTRTACCAGAAATTATCTGGCTACTTTCTGTTGTCTCCTTAAAAATAATTGAACTTTCCTAAGTCGATTTCCTCATTTATAAAACAGTGATACTCCTATACCTCACARCAGAGAATCATAAAATGTGATTATATTCAGTTAAACACAAATTCATAGTACACAAAGCAGAAAGAATATATCAGTGCCATGTCTAGTCTGAAAATGGGCAGTGAGACCAGCCAGCCAGGCTGCCAGGAGCTTCTCAAAATGCACGGAGAGGGAACAAGATTATGTTCTCTCACTTTTGATCCCAGTCTCAATGGCTCAAGCTAAAGCCAGACAAACCATCCTGTGAGAGCCATCTGGTCCTAGGAATACTCCCAGGAGGAAAGACATCACACAAGCCAGAAAGGCAAACAAACTGAATTTTATAAATTGTGATGTGAATAGGGTGAGAAAGTAGATTATTTCAAAAACTCAAAATTAGAAAAAAAGCTATCTCCCAAAGCCTAGAAGACATGGCTAATAAAACAAATACAGGCAACAGTAGTATCTTAGAGGTCAGAAAATATATTACCCTCCCACTACCCCCACTTAAAACAGCATGTGTATATGAGATACAAGCTATCAGTGCTGGGCTGAAGTGGTAATGTGGATTGGGAGATGATTAAGACACTACAGCAGGAGATGACTACAACATGGTAGACACCCATTTTTGGAACCCTAGCCAGCAGAAGCAATAAACTAGATATTGCTACTTAACTAAAGAAAATGTTGATTGAAAAATGAAACCGAGAAGAGCAATAACATGGTATCACGTACAACTGGTTGAGTATAAATTAAAACCACACCATATGCAACACACTATACCATTTTCTTAGGCTACAGATTTAAAAGATGTGGGGAAATATTAGGAAAGAGGATGAAGGACCAATGTGCAAACCAGGGAGCCCTCTATTGTTGGATAATAGTGAACCTGTATATTAAAGAAATAAAATGAATTCGACTCTGCATCCAAAGTTTAAAGAATAGATGAGAGCAAATGAAGACTGGTTAATACATGGTGAGGGCAACTGCATCCTCTGGCATCCTGAGTACACTTCTCAGAATAGTGTGCTGGCTAGGACACTGGCCTTATGTGCCACCAATTTCCTCTACAAGGGAGAACTTCAAGCACTAATTCAGTGCTAGGAACTTCRGCAGATTTATTTAGCCCTACAATCTGTGAAATGACATAYRCCTGCATTTTACAGATGTAAAAAATTAAGTCACTTTTCCAAAGTCATCAAGGTATTTCAAAGGCTATAGATTTCACTTTTGGATTCATTTCCAATTTATTAGTGCCTTCCTCTAGGCTAATCATCTCTTCAGAGAGCTAACCATGAGRTAGTCTTTCTAAGATGATATTAATCATTTACCTTTGTTCTTCTCCTAAACTAACTATTCACATAAAGGCAACACTGAAAGTGAAGTCTAAGTGCCTAGCACTATCATTCTTCATGTGTTCACATTTAGAAATAGAAAAACCTTAACAATAACCCACTTTACCTCTGCTGGATTTAATCAATGCCAGAGACACACACCTCCACACGAACCACAATGAGTGACAATTTTTCTCCCACAGAAGTCTCAAAAAGCCCCCTCAAATATGTCCTAGTGCCCTTATGTCATGAGTTATTCTGAAAGTTAAACATTTTGGAGCAGACAAGTCACTCAAGTTTCCCCTATCATGCTGACAGCCAGATATCGCTTGAAAGCTGAGGCAATAATGTGACTGCCACACAGCAGTTCAGGTATCAGACTGCAGCAGACACACACCATGTAAACTTAAGCTGAAAACACTGTTCACAAATGCCACCTGAAAATCAACATAAGTCTRATTTTATTATTAGGTCAGAACAAGTGAAGTAGCAGCAAAAGGGTGTATCCCACAAGCCAGGTTCCACTGGTCCTCAGGCAAGGAGGAAACTCGAGCAGGAGACAATCACTCAATCCAGCAGACTCTCAGAATCTCACTTGGGCCCTAAAGTGCATTTGCTTGGTGGCATTRTTCTTCATTCCTGTCTTCAGCATCCATTTTGATTTCATCCTTTGGACATACTGCATGTCCCGCTCTCGCATAAGAGCTGCTCCTGTGATTGGAAAGAAGTTTAAAAATGAGCGGAAGCTCAGTTATTTATGGTCAGTGAAAGCCCAATCTTTGTACAGAATGCCAAAGTTAATTTGGGAAGAATGGGCTCTTTTATACTTAAAGAAGAGATGCTATCTTGAGGTTTCCCACCAATGAGCCTAGAGGGTAAATGTGTATCCCAGCCATAGATCAGAACTTTTGTAAATATACATTTCTCTGTATTAGCTTCTTTAATTTTTATAATCTTGAAAGGATTATAGGCTCCACTGATCTAAGAGGACAGGGTGGGAGCTATAAATTGAGTCAGASAATAATTCTTGACAGGAGTGAAAAGTTAGTTTTTGCTAGATTCAAGTGGCCTCATGGCTCACAAGCAGCCACGATGAGGGTAACAGGTGCATATAAACACAGGGTTTAAAATGGATCAGGAGGCAGTTCTCCCCCTGCCCTTTCCAYGTGCCTCTGGCTGGACTGTTTTCCCTGAAGATGTACAGATAAGCAGTTTTATGCAGTCCACACATCAGAGTAGATTTAAATAGCATCATACTGATGAAGTTTCAAAGCTTAATAACTTCAGTGGCCAGCTGTACTATCTGAATATTCTAAGTTTTCTATGGAAAGATCATAAGAAGAGGACTGAGAGCCAACCTTACTATTTGCACACCCTGTATCACACATGCATTATGAGGGTCAATCCTCTCAACTCAAAAAGGTAGGCCCTTCCCTTAACATCCTCAGTGTATAAACAAGGAAAAAGAAGCGTAATTAAATTACTCATTTTCATCACATAAGAACTTGTAAGTACATCATATAAATCATGGTCAACTCCACAGCCTWAACTATTTATAACCACCAAGATATTACTCAATTCTTCTGTGTAGCCTCCAGGATAATTTCAGCCTGGGATGATTACTAAGTAATTCTTATTCTAAATACTGTCTGTTGAAAAAGTTAATGGTGTATATAGAGTTATTATACCAGGAATATGAAGTTTTTAAGTCGTGGAGCCTTGGGCTTCACTATAACTAAGTGATAATGAAAACCCTACAACTAAGAAATCAGGCTTGTAATGACAATATAAATAGAAATGATATCACCCAGGTTCTTGGGCTGGTCAATAACCGTAAACAGATGTACCTGTGCTGCCAGTCCACCCTAGGGCTCGGTACTGTTGGAGTACCCTGCCCACAGCCTTCTGATTTTTAGCAACTGCCACAGCTCTTGGCAAGCCAAATCGCTGTTTGTAGTATCTCATCAAGGAGCGATGACCAACTCTGGCACCTGTTTTTCAAAAGAATGATATTTTTTTATTTTTACTTATGGTTATACTTTTWAAAAATTTTTAATTTGTTCTTTTTAATTATACATGATGGTAGAATGTATTTTGACATATGATACATACATGGAGTATAACTTCCCATTTTTGTGGTTATACAYGATGTGGAGTTACACTGGTTGTATAYTCATATATGAACATAGGAAAATTATGTCCAATTCATTCTACTATCTTTCCCATTCCCATGCCCACTCCCTTCCCCAAGTCCATTCCAGTAAAACTCCACCCTTCCACACCTATTGTGAATCAGCATTCGAATATCAGAGAGAACACTGGGATTGGGTTATTTCACTTAGCATAACAGTCTTCAGTTCCTGCCATTTGCCTGCAAATGCCATGATTTCATTCTTCTTTATGGCTGAGTAATATTCCATAGTGTATACGTATCACATTTTCTTTGTCTATTCATCTTTTGAAGATCACCTACATTGGTTCTATAGTTTASCTACTGTGAATTGAGCTGCTATAAACATTGATGTGGCTGTGTTACTACAGTATGCTGATTTTAAGTCCTTTGGGTATATGCCAAGGAGTGGGATAATTGGGTCAAATGGTGATTTCATTCCAAGTTTTCTGAGGAATCTCCATACTGCTTTCCAGAATGGTTGCATCTCTCTCTCTCTCTCTCTCTCTCTTTTTTTAAATAGGGATAGAACCCAGTGGCACTTAACCACTTATCCTCAGTTATTTTTAAAATTATGAGTCAGGGACTCACCAAGATGCTCAGGGCTGGCTTTGAACTTGTGATCCTCCTGCTTCAGCCTTCTGAGTTACTGGGATTATAGCATGCACCACCATACCCAACAAGGAGCAAAATTTAAACACTGAGTTGGATAGTTTTTTCAAGGTAGAATTATAAAGCAAGGGCTTTCCCAAATCAATCCTTAAGATCTAGCTGGAAAATGGATATGTCAGAAGAAACAGTGTTCTAGCTACTAAATAAAGACAAAGCAGAGGAAACAAAGACAGAATGGGCTGGGCACAATGGCACATGCCTGTAATCCCAGCAGCTCTGGAGGCTGAGACAAGAGGATTCCGAGTTCAAAGCTACCACCCTCAGCAAAAGCAAGGTGACAAGCAACTCAGTAAGACACTGTTTTTAAATAAAATACAAAATAGGGCTGAGGATGTGGCTCTGAGTTGAGTGCCCCTGAGTTCAATCCCTGGTAYAAAACAAAGAGAGAATGGTAAATCACTTTTCAGCAAAATTTCAGAATCTTGTACTTACAATATGCCTCCCAAGAACTCCCCATAGCAATTCCTACTAAAACAGATAAAAGGGCCCTAGAAAATAAGGAATTTTTAGTCTTTTTTTTTTTTAATACAAAGATTAAACAGAGAACAATCCTGATAGTTAGGCCTAAAAACCCCAGTCAGAGTCCACAATAGAAATCCATCTTTCCTTTACCTAAATTCTCCATTGCATTCTCCAACAGAGGTAATTTTATCCCACAGGGAACATTTGGCTCTGATTGGAAACATCTTGGGTTGTTACAACTAGAGGCCATCTAGTAGGTAGATATCAGAAATWCTTCCTAAACTTTTAAACACACAGGATAGCACCTGGCAACAAGTATTATTAGACCCAACTATCAATAGTACCAGGGCTTAAAATTCTATTACTTCCTAAATGATAAAAAACATTTGGTGAATCAATTAGTGAACTAGAATTTTAAAAGATGATTAAGTTGAATTCTCTCTACARAGAATTTTTATTTACTTAGAAAAAACTGATAAAATTCTGTGGGTCAATCAAGCTTTCAGAAACTAATTTCTAACTTTCAACAAATTTTGATGTCATTACAATATGAAATTGTATATATAAGCCCCTCAGCAATTATAACACAGTGTGGAGGGAAAATACTATATTTCAAACAAGAACTGTTCCAGGGGCTGGGGTTGTGGCTCAGAGGTAGATCGCTCGCCTAGCAGATACAAGGCACTGGGTTCAATCCTCAGCACCACATAAAAATAAATAAATAAAACAAAGGTATTGTGTCCAACTACAACTAAAAAGATTTAAAAAAAGAAAATGGAACAAATTTATTGACCACCAAAAGCTTTGGAATTTCTGTACCTAGTCTAATAAAAACCTGAAGATATTTACCAGAGGAACAATCCAAGATTCCTATTAAGAGGATGTTATAGCTGATGTAATAATCAAGGAGTCACCAGAGGACCAAATCCAACCAACCACCAAATAAATAAATAAATAAATAAATAAACAAACAAACAAATAAATAAAGCTAAAGTAGAGATTTGTGTATAGTTTCTAAAAAAGTTTTATATTTGTGTATATAAAACTATTTCTTTCAGAATCTTTTGATTAGAAAGACCATGAATGGGATACTAAATGTAAAAGCTTGTATGTGTACAAGCTTATATTTGTTTTTGGGATCTAGACCTTTAATTCACATTAAAAAAATGTTGTCAGGTTATTTTAAATCCCTATACCTGGCAAGACACTGGAAAATGACTGCCTTGCAACACAGACATGGAAAAGTACTTACTTGKTTTTGGTTTTATGATCATACTCAAAGAGATGACAAAAAGAACCTTCCATCTCAAAGACCTAGTCTTTGCCAATAGGAATGAAACTATTTCCCTTGAACTTGACTGGTCAGGCAGCACAAGAGTTAACAAACCTCCAAAATAACAAGAAATAAGTGAGATGCATCTGATGGAAAGAGACTCAAGCTAAAGTGGAARCCTAACAGAAAAATCCCAGAATCATTCACTGTAATTTTCTATTTGCAATATTAGGTCAGGGTGCTCTAGTTCCAGGTTTGCATGATGATTATTCCTAAACCATTATATGACAATGCTGGTTTATATTTTTATACACCATTTGGAAATACATTCTACAGTTTCCAATAGTTGGCAGGAGAGAAGTAAAAACACAGTGTTTAGAGTTATTCCTGATGTGTTGGTGGCAATGAGCACAGGACATTAGTACCAAGTATACTATGCTAAGAACAGCTCAACGTGAAAGCCTTCATCATGGAAAAGTATCCTTAGGGACCGTGTGACTGTCCAATTAACAACAGATAGGTTTTGTCTGATTTATGGTGAGGCATACAACCTGTCCATCTAAATTTCACGTACAATACAAAAATCCGATYCTTCTTAACAAATAGCCATGCAATTGACAACAGATACTGTAAAAGAAAACATCCCCATCTCTAGTTTTGATGATTAATAAGATAAGATGACTAATTATATATTTCTTATGGATTCAACAACAGTTTCATGTAGCTAGTCAGCAGCTAGAGGAATGTGTCTTTCACTTCAGCTTCCTCTAAGTGAACTGAGGAGCAAACAAAGAAATTCAAGGAACCCAGCCAGACCACAATCTGCAAAAGATATGCTAATAGTGCCCTCTACTGGATAATTTTGTCACTGGCTCTGGGATCATCAGCTTGCATTTTACTGAGAACAATCTGAGTAACTAGATTTAAAATAATTTCCAAATTAGCTTTAAGCTAACCAACCTCCATGCTAACCCAGTCATATAGATGAGCATATCTGAAGAAGTTTCTGAAARGTTATGTTCTTCAAAGAGATAAATMGGTAATTAAACAATGATGCTGCTACATTTTTACAATTTTTTTTTTAGAGTGTTCCTATTTTCTTGAGCCATTTAAACCCCTCCCTTTTAAACCAATATTGAGGCACAAGAACAAACCAATGGACCGTCAGGTATCACTACAAACATGACTGACAAAAGCATGACTGGCTTTTAAAATCTGAGATGATAAAGTACAGGCAATATTAAAAGCACTATGTCAGTCCAGATGGAGAAAATTTCAGAATACAATGTTTTTTGATTTGTTGCCATTTAGACAAAACCATTATTTGTGATGAGTAGTGATTTGTATTTGCATATTCTTATTAATGGCCCTGAATCTTCTCCAGGTCACAAAACTACAATCTTTCTCAAGAAAAACACATACTCCCACACACCAAAAAAAGGGCACAGTCTAGTTAAGACTACTTGGAGTAGACAGTTTCTGGTTGTTGGCTAGGTCTTTCCTGAGCTAGTTTGCCTAAAAGTACAGTATTTTGCAATACTAGACTACCAAACCAGTTACCTCACTGCTTCTCGGTCTACATCAAAGAGCAATCTGAGATTCCAAGCAAGCCAATAATTACAAAGAAATAAAGTCAATGTTACCACAGATATACAAGCATCCTGGGAATAGAGGAGACTTCTGTCACCCAATTACTGAGACTATTATCCAGTACTTTAAAATAATATGAATCAACTACTGGGCCCATATCTGTGAGTAAGGAAAAAAGGCTTTAAAACCAAGAGAAAAYAGACCTTCCAGCTAATCTCAGGTCACTTTCTTCAGACTATATTACACACAGGCAAAGCAATCTTCTCCAAGGACTTAGGGGGTAATGAAGACAAATAAGATTCTATGTCCCCGTAAACTCTCTCTGCTTGCCTTTTCCTTTATTGTCATAGGCTCCAGGGAATCAACCTTGCTTTACTTTTAAAAATATCACCTCTACCCTTTCAGTCAACAAATATTTATCTCTCTTTTATGYGTCTGAGACCCTGTACTGAGATGAAAARWTGAAAGAAAATAATCTGTTCTCCAWAGTGATTGGGGGTTAGAGAAAATAACTTCCAAGGTTCTATAGCACAGCAGGGTAACTATGGTTGACAACAATTGAGTATTTCAAGATAGCCAATAGGATTTTGAATACAAAGAAATGGTATTTTGTCTGAGGTAACAGATATGCCAATTATCCCCTTTACACATTGTATACATGTAAAATGTCTCACTGTCTTCTATAAACATGTACAATTAGTCTCTGTCCGTTTAAAAAAATACACACATATACATTTTTAAAATGTAACCTGGGAAGACAGGCAAGCAAACCAATAATTACAAAAGAGTAAAGTCAATGTTATCACAGATATACAAGCATCCTGGGAACAGAGGAGATTTCTGTCACTCAATAAAGTGACAGTAGAGGGGTTGGGGAAGGCTTTCTGGGGAGCGGGGTGAACCTAAAGAAGATGAGTCTTAGAGGAGGAGTGGGAATACAATAGAGGCACCACCATGCAAAGATCCAGAGAAGCAAACAAACTGTAAGTGGGCATATAGAGGAAGAGCACAAGACACCTGAAGGACCAGAAGCTAGAGAAACTCAGGCAAAGGCTCCACCAGAGGAATKCCAGAAGGTAAAGTATACTGAAGTTTTGGAAAGAATGTTCTGGTATGCATGTGGAAAACAGATTACAGAAGGCCAGACAGGAAGTTATAATAGTGTCACAAAGAGATAAAAAGAAAAAAATAAAGAAAAAAGTATTCAAAAGATATTTAGGAGTTGCYAAATCACCTGAATGTGGGAGAAAAAAAGAGTATCCTAAAATGATAGCCATTTTTGGCTTTGGCTAATCTAAGAAAACTCAATCATCCTAGGACAACGTGTTTTCTATATAGCTGAGGAGTTTCCATTTTTTCCAAGTTTCAAAAATTTAAAGTCCAGATGAAAACYTCTTTCAAATATGCTACATTTCTTATATATGACATGCTCACTGTGATGTATATTTTTTGCAATATAGTATACTAAAGTAGATGAAAAATGAAGTGAACAGTATAGTGATTCTACAACATGTCAGATACTGCTTTATAAGGATGTCTTTCTCAACTTATTTAAGGTCTGCTGTTATCATATCCTACAGTTAAGTGGAAGCTAAAAAGACACAAAGCCAAAGAGTCACGAAAAATAAATTATTAAACATAGTCAATCCTTGGTATCTGGGAGGGACTGATTCCAGAATACTACCTTCAAATACCAGACTCCAGGGATTCAGRTCCCTTATATAAAATGGTACAGTAYTTCCATACAGCCAATACTTTAAATCATCTCTAGATTAATTTTAATACCCAAGAGGGTAAATGCTACATAAATAATTGTTATGCCATGTTGTTTAAGGAATAATGACAAGAAAAAAGCCTACACATGGTCACTACAGACACAATTTTTTCCTCAGATATTTTTACTTGGTTGACTGCAGATGCAAAAACCACTGATATAGAGAACTGACTATATTTCTTATATTCTGTATTGGTAAAGACATAATATATTGCAATTAACTTCCGTATCACTATAGGAAGAATTGTATCTTCAAGACACATTCTGCCTGCCCTTTCTTTCTACTGTCACATCCTAAAGTTGCCCTTAGCCTTCAAAGGTTATGGTTCTGAATTAAGATGGCTGTCTGTACCAACACAGAAATTTTGCATATGGAAAGCAATACTACAGGGTTGCTTCTTCATCAGACACCTCCACTGGCAATGTGTTGCTCCMACCCCACCATTACTACATTTGCCACAGTTAATATAGGAAAGTCAGAAATAGGCTTCACTAACTAGGTGTGTGGTTTGGGGTAAATTACTCAACCTCTCTAAGTTCCTTGAAGACTTATTGTAAAGCCTGAACATACTAATAACTGCACAGTAAATATCAGGAATTATGAGGATCTTATCATTTCTACTATTTCCTTTCCTTTTACCCCTCACTGTGTATGCCCCTCTGTAGCTTCCCCACAACACTTCCTTCTTTCCACACAATAAACAACAGTTGACACCTCTCATATTTGTAGTTACTCTTMATCTTCTCATATCTAGGATGAATTTCCACCCTGAATCCTATTTCCCAGAGAAGGCAGAACTGAAATTTCAAGCCTGCCCTACAACCAGAATACAGAAAGGCAACTCAGGGAATATCAGTCAGACACATACTTGCCAAGACTACCATTTGGAAGTCTGAGTAACATAAAGACACAGTAATCAGTTCAAAGAATTAGAGTAAAAGCAATATTAGCAATAACAAMAAAAGATGAACAGAATAAAAAGTGTTCACATGTTTTTTAAAACCCAAAAGAAAAAAGAAATGCCTAATCAAAATGTTCTGAGCCATAAAAGAAATGAGCAAAAACACTGGCCCAGTTAAAACAAAAGAGCCAACTTAGAGCTAGGCAGCAACCTTCTGAATTCATATGTACATGAGAATGCAAACATACACTAGAATTTATGTTTTATTTTCTTCAGCTATGCCTCTTTCACAATCCACTGGCAGCAAGTCACTTATATTTGACAAACACTTACCAGAAGGCAGAATCAGCTCCATAGTTTCATCGTCATATTCCAAGTTCTTTTCTGAGGGTAACTCCTCAGCCTCATTGGGGTCCTCCCCTTCCATGTGATCTGGGTAGCTGCTCCTATTAACAGCCAACAGGTGTTAATAAACAGATTACCTCAATTAAAAATAAAAATGGTATTTGCAAATGTGGTCAACCTGCTAGCTATTTAAAAAACAGCTGCATGAACTGCCAGCTGAAAGGTTTTAGGGGAAAAACAACTTGTTAGCATTTTTCAGTAGAAGTGAGCAAATGTCCTAACAGGAGAATTTTTCCTCTTATTTGTTTCTCCTCCAGAAGGTTACCAAGTAAGTGCAAAGAAGAGGATAATACAGAYTGGACACGGAGCTCTAGTCAATTTAACCACTGTAAAAACAAATTCTAGAACTATGCTATCCAACAGAACTGTAATGTCAGAAATGTTCTATATGTGTGCGTCCTACGCAGTAGCTCTAGACGTGTGGGTTTCAAAGCACTGAAATTTAAAATGGGGTACTGTGACTGAAGAATAGATTTTTAAAATTTTTAATTTATATTCTTWATAGACACAATATMTTTTATTTATTTTTATGTGGTGCTGAGGATAGAACCCAGCACCACACAGGTGCGAGGCAAGCGCTCTACCACTGAGCTATAACCTCAACCCTAATTTATAATTTTAACTGATTTAAATAGCCACAAGGGAACACTTAGTAATTACTGTATTGACAGTACAATTCTGGAAGAATCTCTACATTCCTAAAAATTATCATAAATTCATATTTACACATGTACATGGAAAACTCAGATTAAAATATTAATAGACAGCCCAATAAAAAAATAAAAAGATTTAATCAAAGACTTCACAAAAAGATCTCCAAACAGCCAACAAATAAATAAATAAAAACATTCTCAATTACATGTTTCATAATAAGGAAGAATTAAAATGACTACATAATTGCCAAGGGGCTAAAATAAAAAATTCTCCCTCACCAAAAGTGGAAGTACAGATAACCACTTTGGAAGACAATTTGACATCATCTTCTAAAATTAAACATAYGTATATCCTCTGGCCAGACTCCTAAATATATATCAACATATAATACGTATACTTTTGCCAAAAGACATATACCAGAATTATGCAGGGGCATTACTGATGATAGCTCCAAACTAGAAACCACTTGAATGTGCACCAGCAGTAGGTGAGGTACCATGATGCATTCAACAGAATACTCTACAACAATTAGAACCAATAATCTACAACTGTATAAGTTAGTATGGGTGTAAAGGAAGATGTAACGAAGAAGGCGATCCAAAAGAGTATATTCTTTCATTTATGTAAGTACAAAAACAAGCAAAATCAACTACTCAGTTCTATGTCAGAACAGTGGTTATTCTTCAAGACTGGAGGGACACTTCCTGAAAATACACACAAGGGAAATGACAGAGTATCATTAGTRTTCTGTTTCTTGATCTGGATGCTCTCTATATACAATTTCACCAAAGTGAATTATGATCTCATCTGTTCATCACACATTAATGCACCTTCTATAAGTTTATTCTTCAATAAAAAATTTCAAGCCAAAATAAGTTAACATTGGTTATATTTAGAGGAAGGAAGAATTATGGGCAACTGGTCATTTTTTATCTGAGKGAATCCACATAAAGAGCTTATTAAACAGTGTCAGGCAGGCAGTAAGTACTCAGTGCTGGCTTTGCATGTAAGGCTTTCTATTTACCAAGTTTTCTTTACTGAGCACAATCAACTTTTGGGTTTTTTTTAATGTAAATAAGCCACTTAATATTCATTTTTATAAAGGCTCACACCATTTTTCATTTTTAGGAATTCACACAATAAACTCTGTACAGATTCAAAAAAGCATTATTTGAATTAAAGAAAATTCACTTCTTGAACCATTTAYATCAGTTATTAATGTTAATACAAATAGTCCACACAACAACCAGTAARCAACACAACAACAAAAGCCTTTACTTTTTTGAAGCTTAGATTCTAGAAGGAGAAAACAATAAATAAATAATATGCAAAATGGCAGCAAAACTATTAAGAAAAATAAAGAGGATTAAAAAATATCARGTAGGTGTTGTGATTTTATGAAAGGTGGTCATAGAAGGCCACCCTGAAAAGGTGGAATTTATGCCAAACCCTGCAGAAGTGAATGAACAAGTCATATRARTATTTCAGCAAAGGTTACAGGCAAAGACAACAGGAAGTACAAAGGAACTGAGAAACATAATTTTTGTTTTTAGAATAGCTAGGAATAGGGCTAGGTTGTGGCTCAGTGGTAGAGCACTCACCTAGCATGTGTGAGGAAGTGGGTTCGAGCCTCAGCATCACATAAAAATAAATCAACAAAACAAAAGTATTGTGTCCATCAATAACAGGAAAAAAAAAAAAAGAAGAAGAAGAATAGCTAGGAATGGAACAAGCAAGAAACAGAAAACACCAAAGTGATAAGGACAGCCAAACCACAAAAGGTTGTGTAGATCATTAAACTTTAGCTTTTGCTTTGAGTAAGACAGGAAGCCCTTGGAAGATTTTGAGGAGAATTTTCTCTTATACTTTAAGAGAATCCCTGTGGCTAGCTCTGAGAATAGAATGTAAGGAATGGTAAAAATGAAAGTTAGGAGACAAGCARGCAGGGAAGTACTGCAGCACATTCAGTGAAACCTAAGGGGGACGTGGATCCAGGTTGCAGCAGTGTAGGAAGTAAGAAGTAGTTAGATTCTGAAGGTGTGTGGGGCAGGAATGGTAAAGGAGTTAATGAAAGCATGCAATAAAACAGAAAAGATGATGGCAAACTTTTTGGCTTAAGTAACTAAAAGGACAGAGCTGTCATTTACTTAAGGAAGATCAAGTTAGCGAGCACAGCAGGAGTTTGATTTTRAATAAAGTGGAAACATCAAGGAGGGCTGGATACATAAACTAGAGCTGAAGTGAATGCTCTAGTAGAGAGAAAAATTGGGGTGACATGAGCCTGCAAGAGGTACTAAAATCTATGAGACTAGGTAGGATCCTGAATATATAAGAAGGCATGGATAGGGGGGCTAGAAAACCAACACTGCAGCATTCCAAGCCAGCTGCTAGCTACAGCCTCTTGACTCAATCATTGGCTTTGAGCACTTTGATTAGAACAACCTAAGTCAAAAGGTAATAAACACTGCTGACAGGAAACCTGAGAGGGAGAAATACTGTCTCTTGTCTGTAAGAGGATGCTCTCCACTTTTAGCAGATATTCTGTCTTCTTGTCTGCCACCACCTCTAACCCCCTACTTATGCCCACAACTACAAAGTCCTCAATTGCAAAAGGACAAATCAGGGAGAAAACATGAAGTTTAACAGAAGACGACTTTTCTGAGCTCCTGTATCACTTCAGCTATGAATGGTTGGTATGATGATTATATATGCCTGCTTCTCTCCTTTACTACATTGGAGGAATTCTGACAATAAAATCTTAGTTTTTCATGAGCACCTAACATCCATTTGTTGCATGACGTAAGAACTACTTGAGATTTCAGTTAGGGTTAAACCATCAATGGGATAATCTCACCACCAAATACCATGATCTAGTATTATGATCATCCTAGTTTAGCAACCATCTCAACTCCTTTAGGAGACAGCTTGATTCAAGGTCCCTCAAGGAATGAAACCTAATTTCTTCACCTCTGTTCACAAGGTAATTGGCAAAACTAAACTCCTGACCATTTAACTACAAAGAACAAAAACAAGTGAGACAAACTACAGTTTGTGCCTGAAATCTTAATCTTCTCTTTCTAAATGTGCTAAACTGAGTTTCTTAACCTATACAGAGGTGCTACAAGAGTTATTATGAATATACATATATATAATGAATATATTGAGCAGAGCTGCATTCCAGCAGCTCAGGAAGCTGAGGCAGGAGAATCACAAAGTCAAAGCCAGCCTCAGCAATTTAGCAAGGCCCTAAGCAACTTAAAGAGCCCCTGTTTCTAAATAAAATAGAAAGAGGGCTGAGAGGTTAAGCACCACTGGGTTCCATCCCTGGTGCCGGGGGTGGGGGAAGAATATATTGTTGAATACCACCTCAATTCACTTCACATTATGAACCCCTAGACWTACCTAAAATCATAGAAGTCTGCAAATTCCAAAGCAGCATCACCATCTGTGAAAAGCTTACAGTGGCTTTTGTCGTTCATATGTGCCTGTACAGCTTCTGTGGAGTAGAAGGATTTCCCTTTCTCATTGCACCACAAGCAAATCTTCCCAACACCAACTTTCTCTCCTGGTTAAATAATTTGAGGAAAAAAAATATGAAAGCAGTTTTTTGCAGCCAGACTAAATCTCAACATTTATTTCCACAACTCAAAAACAAAAACAAAACAAAAATAATGCATTCATTTCTAATTTTCAYTAAATAATTAAATCAAAGATTGATGAGAAACATAAAACTCATGTTCCCTCAAGAACTGCCCACCCCAATAACATGGTATTTCCTCATTAAAAGGAAAACTATTATACTTACCTAAATATTTTATCAGACCCTTAAGGTCTGAAAGATACTCTATATCAGGAATAAAAAAGCTGTGGACTTTAGTCATATGAGCCACATTCTTCATGAGGGAACTTGAATGRTGGGGACAAAATAAGCAGTCCGTTACTGGGATGGCACCTAGGGGTGGGCTATGCCCAGCTTCTTCCTCATCTGCATCCTGCTCCTCCGTGTCATCCATCACTTCAGTATCCTCACATTCCAATTCTTCATCAGAATCAATATCTTCCCAATCTTCAAGCCAGAGTTTTGATAAACAAAGTTAACTTTAAAGAGTAGTAACCACAATCAAAGACACCACAATGATTCACACAAAGAGGAATAYCTATGTTTGGGGAGACAGAATGGCAACTGCATCCCCCTGAAAAAAAAATCCTTTTTCAAGATCTCAATTTTAACTATTTATTTACCACAGACAAATTTGTATGGGTAAGAAACTTGTTAATCTTGCTTTCCAGTATATGGTAATATCCCTGAATTAGTGTCACACTTCTTTCCTATGTCTGTGGTTTCATTTGGCTGATATTCTTATTCAGTACTATAACAACATCTAGGACTTCACAGGAGTACTACAGTGCCATGTATGTGGTGGTGGTAGTGGTGGTATTRTGCTACAAATTGCTGCTGTCCTTTGAATGTATGTGCTCTTTCATGTTTAAACTGAATCACCACAGTTACAGTACTAAGAGGTGGGGAAGGAGGAAAGTAGCTTTTTTTTTTTTTTTTTTTGGCCTTTTGCTCCTTCTGCTATAGGAGGACACAATCCTTATCTTCGGCCTTTTCTATCATTTGRGTAAATCACGAGCAAACTTCCTTTATGGAAGGCCCTGCCAATGCCTTGATTTTACACTTCCCAGCCTCCAAAACTATGGGAAAATAAATGACACTGTTTATAAACTTCCATCCAAGTCTCAGGTATTTGCTACRGAGACACAAATGAATTAAGTCACTAAGACATACATTAACAATGTTAACAGGACTAGGCATGAGGGAAGGAGAGATCAAATAGTTCATGAAGCTCAAGCTCCACACCAGTTTTGCTAGTTGATTGGGAGCCCCTCGTTCAGTTCTAATCAACAAATCTAAGTGAAAAACCATTAGAACCATGAAGTCCAATAGAATCACCGATTTTACAGCAGCCAGTGTGACAATAACGTGTCTTTCTATGCGTATGTGAAAAACTTATCCGAAACAGAGAACGCGTCAATTCATCCTACAGATATTTACTAAACATCTATTCCTCTTCCAGGTGAAGTTTTAGGCCCTGGATGTACAGCAGTGAACCAAACAGAGAAAATTCCTTCTGAGGACGCTGGCCACAGAAGGCACTTCAGAAATCTAATGATCATTTTCACACATCCACACACCCCTTAAGTATAAACTTGGAAACTTAAGGGAAGCCAACTTCCTCTGGTCCTCCGCCCSCAGACAAGGCCATTACCTTCTCCATCCAGGTCCTCCTCCTCTTCTTCCTCCTCCTCACTCTCTCCGCCCTGCTGCTTGGCCAGTTTCTTCGCCTGCTGTTCAAACCACTGGAGCCGGGGCGGTTTCTCCGCCKGGTCTCGGTCGTGAGTTCCACGTCCACCCGCAGCGACGGCCACCGCACTCCGGAACTCCTCTGTGGACACCTTCTTGGGAGACGTGGACGGCTGGGCCTTGATGGCCTGCTGGATGGCCGCGTTCATGGCGTCCTTGTCCACACTGTCCACGTCTAGCCCCTTCTCCAGGTTCTTCTCGTTCATCATTTCCACTTTCCGATTCACAGCCTGCACCGCCTTCTTCTCCAGCTCCACATGCCGCCGGGACTTGAGGTGATTTTCGTAGGCGTTGAAGGAGGCGAACTTCTTACTGCAGACAGTGCAGTAGGTGGCCGTGCCCTTGCTCTCCTCCTCTGCAACGGCCCGCTGCGCCCGCACTCGCTCCTGGAAGCCTTCGGCAGTGACCGGAGCCATGTTGGCCACTTTTCGCCGCAGGTTGTAGCGGTGCCAGTCCGTTTTGTAGTGGGCCCGCTGCATCTCCGCGTCGCGGAAYGCCACCCGGCAGGTGATGCAGGTGTATGTCGCCATGGCCAGGCGAGAAACAAGAGGCGACCTAGCCAAGAATCTAACGATTAGCGTTCCAGTCTCACAGTCCGCTAGCGATTAGTCTTACGCAGAGATAGGGAGACAGGCTCGGCGCTCCGACTTCCTGCTTCTCACTGAGGGAACTTCCGGTACGCGCCGGAAGATATTCACACCTGGAAGGGAAGTCCCGCCTCTTGGCCTGGGGCCACGCCCCGGAAGGCGAGAGAAGTTCGTGGCTGACGACCTCCCGGATCCACTCAGCCAGCCGGAGGGCGGGGTGGGTGTTGATTGTCAGGTACCGCGTCCTCTGTTACCTTCCTCCGCGGTTGTGCGGTGATGTGTGACGCGGTCCAGGCGATGGCTATAATAGAGGGTGATGTGGGTGCCCGGGGCTGCTCCTGGTCCTGGGAACCCTCGAGGAAGGTCCTGCGGGCGAACGGAGGTCGGAGGTCTCGACACCCGCATGCTTTGCCCACGAGCCTGCTTTGCCCACGAGCCGGGTGAATGCAGATGGCGAAAGCGGGAAACGCCCTCTAGGACCTCCGCACCCCAGCCCCTCCCGCTGTACTGATTCACCAAGTGACCCGAGCCTCTTCTTAAGGCGAGGGAAGAGCGCAGGCGAAGCTCTTAAATGAATAAACGTTTTGCCTGCGAGGTTCCCAAAGCATAGCCAAACCACTGTCCAATGGAAATATAATCCAAGCCACATCTGTAATGTTTAATCCGTGTCCACATTATTAAAAAAGTAAAAATGGGTGAAATCGCTGTTAGTGATATAGTTTGTTCTTAAGTTTTCAGTAGAAAAGATTTAAAAAGATAATTTACGTTCTTTTCTTGGTATTAAATCTTGGAAATCTTGTATCTTGCAACCATAGCTCATCTCTAGACTAGCACCATTTCATGTGGTCAGTTGCTTATGTGCCTTCACATATATATATGTACGGTTTTATAGGAAAACATGGAACTTTAAAAACTTGGGGAAGTTCATAGGTTTATCTACACAGTTGAGTAGAACCAGAGTCAGATTTTTTTCAGAATCCAAGCTGCCAATAGCACCAAGAGAAGACACGTTTTTAAAATATAGGCCAGATTGTGGAGCTCTTTGCTCAAAATCCTTCAAACACCTACCTTTGTGTTCTAGGTCCTACAAGATCTGCTACCAGGAGGACCCCTACCTCTGATCTACTCAACCTTCTCTACCTTGCTCAACCTACTTTGGTCACAGTGACACTTGATGTTATTCTAACAGGCTAAGCAAGCATCTTTTGTTGGTATTGTTCTAGAACTCCTGTTATTCTGCTCTGATCTTCTTGCTCACATTATAAATCTTGAAATAGACTTTCTCTGAAATTAGGGCAACCTCCTGTTAACTTGTTTTTCTGCGTTCTGTTTTTCCTTATTTCAAGAATAGAGGCTGAGGGGCTGGTCCCCCTGGCCTGACAGATTCCCAGTAAATTAAAACTGATATAGTCTCTGGCTAAACATAAACTAGCTAAATCTGCATATGTATATTTTCTGCCTTTAGTCTGTTTGCCTTTTTTTAAGAATATTTTTGGTTGTAGGTGGACACAAAACCATTATTTATTTTTTATGTGGTGCTGAGGATTAAATTTAGTGCCTCACACATGCAAAGCAAGCATTCCACCACTGAGCTACAACCCCCAGCCCTTGCCTCCTCTTTTGAAAGCTTTCCTTGAGCCAGGCACTATGGCCTATGCCTGTAATCCCAGCAGCTCAGGAGATTTAGGCAGGAGGATTGCAAGTTCAAAATCAGCCTCAGCAACTTAGTAAGGCCCTAAGCAACTTAGTGAGACCCTGTCTCAGAATAAAAAAAACATGGGGAGCAGGGAGGCTTGGGATGTGGCTCAGCAGTAAAGTGCCTTGGGTTTAATCCCTGGTACCAAAAAGAAAAAAAATAAGATTTCCTTGTCCTTGAGTTCCCCGGATGATTTGAGGCAAAAAATAAAAACAAATATCCTCCATAATCCTTCAAAGTTGGCTTCAAATAACCATTTTCCTGCCCACTTGACCCTATAATATTTGTGGAGTCTTGTGAGTACTAAAAAGCCTAACCTCTTACCCTCCCTACTGCATGTAGTAACAATCTGAGTACCTTCAGAAGAGAGGCTTATCTAAATCCTTTGTAAAAAATAGTGCCCACCCCTATTCTTACCAGACATAAAAGTTCTCTATGATACTATTTGGTTATGTATTACTTTGTATTGAATTACTCCAAAATTCAGCATCAAATTTCTGCAAATCTTGATTTGAGTGGCTTAGCTGGGTAGTTCTGACTCAGTCTTTGAGGTTGCAGTGAACCTGCTGCCAGGGCTAAAGCCATTTGAAGGTTTAGTTTTTGACTGTGGCTGATGGAGTCCCATCAAGAATGGTTCACTCACATATTTGATAGCAAGAGATTTTGGTTTCTCACCAAGAGGAAGACCTAGGTCAACTTGAGTACGGTATCCCCTTCGCACAGAGTAGAGTCATAAAGTCTTTTTTATGACCTGGCCTTGGTCACACACAGTTATTACATAAGGTGCAATTATGCAGGTCAGCTCTATTGAATGTGAGAGGGAACTACAGCAGGGAATGGATACTAGCAGAATGGGGCAAGGTGGCCTTTCAGGACCATATTCAGAGATAGGCTACCACTCAATTATTATCACTGATTTTCCAGTTTTAGCAAACATAACCTAGCTATTTTATCTTTATTTTGTTAAATTAGAGAAACAGAGTTGTTAGGTGAACTTTCCAGAGCCCCAAAGCCAGTGGGGCTAGTTTAGAACCTTACACATTGTGCCCAGTTAACTGAAATAATAGGCATTTTTTGTAGCATTTCCATACATTTATTCCACAGGTATTTATTGGACTATGAGGCCACTATAGTGCTATACCCATCATAAGAACGTCACAGAATTTTCTTGTAAACTTACTGATTGCCTTTGTTATAATGTTTAAAACATTGGCTTAATTGGGACACAGGCAGGAAAAATAGCTCCCCTCCAAAAAAATTATTTCAGATACTTTTTTTCATTTATTCTTAAAACATCCCAGTGTGAAAAGGGAAGAATTAACTTCTTTATTGTATGTTTAGGGAAATTGAATCATGATTTGTAGACATGGTATGACTTTGACATTGTGTTTTAGAGCCATAATATTTAACATTAGAACCAGAATTCCTATTTCCAACATTCTGTTCTAACATAAATACTGCAGTGGAAATGGAGGAATAATACACAAAATATAATTCTGAGACTTTCTAACTTGACTATGATACAAATGATCTGTGACAACAGATATTACATTACAACAATAATGTTTGCATTAAAAGTTTTGTAAAAAGTACCATTAATGTATTGTGTAAATTTGTATTCATATACTTTTGTAAAAATACTAAGTTTTTCTTAATATTTTTTTAGTTGTAGATGGACACAATATCTTTATTTTTATGTGATGCTGGGGACCGAACCCAGGGCCTCACGCATGCAAGGCAAGCGCTTTACCACTGAGCTACAACCCCACCCCCAGTAACAGTTTTCACAATGATTTCCTGTCTTGCAGCTAATACTCATGGAACAGTATAAAGAAATACACTAGTGGGCACTGTGGTGCATGCCTTTGATCCCAGCGGTTTGGGAGCCTGAAGTAGGAGGGTTGCAAGTTCAAAGCCAGCTTCAGCAACTTTTCGAGGCCCTAAGTAACTTAACAAGACCCTCTCAAAGGAAAATATTTGATAAAAAGGTTGGAGATATGACTCAGTGGTAAAGCCCTGGTTCAATCCTTGATATAAAAAAAGAAAAGAAATACACTAATGTAAATTATAAACAGAAAATAAAAATGTTAAAATAACTTAAGTGTCACTTTGCTTCTGGGTCTACAATCAACATGCTGGCATTTGCCACTTTTTTAAAGGAAGAAAGGCACTTGTTTTAAGTAAGAGTGAGATTCCTAAATATGTTGAGAATATTTGCTAATTGCAAAAACCTTGTAAATAAAATAAAATACTAATTCTACTAAATTAGGGAGGGGTAGTTTTTAAAAATCACTTTTGAAGATTTTAGGGTAAGGCAAAAGCAAAGGCATTTTAGAATGAGCCTGTCCAAGCCTTTGCTTCCAAAGCAAACCAACTTTTTGAGCACTGCTTTATTGTTTTAGATCAAAATACGTGATAAATATATGCTATTCCCTTTTATGATTTTGCTCAGCACTTTCTGTTGGAAGTAAGCAAAACTTGACAGCTCCTCTACAATTTGAAAAGAAAAAAATCCACAGTTCACATTTTAATGACTTCATTCCATGTAGATACTACAAGCCATTTTTTTGTCAGTTCTTTTTTTTCTTTTTTTAGATATTGAAGAAATATTGCATCTTTTATGCTTTCATGGTAAAAGATATGTCACCCCCACAAGACTGGATCAGTTGCAGGGTTTATTTGTTACTATAGCTTAAAAGCAGACAGTGCCCTTCTCCAAAATTCACACACACACACACACACACAAGCACAAAACCCTTGTCAACACCCCTGTGTTTTCATTAAAAGTTTTGTAAAAAGTACCATTAATGTATTGTGTAAATTTGTATTTATATACTTTTGTAAAACTACTATTAAATTACATATGTGGTTATAATGCTATGGTCTATAAAGAGCTGATATGTTTCCTCTATAGTGCTGATGACACATTTTTCTACCCTACCAGCTACCCATACCCGAACCCTTTTTTAGTTTGTAACATTTTGCTATAGATCTATTGCTCATACCATTACACATTACTAGCCCTTGAATTGTACTTCTTATAGGCTTATTCAGTGACTTACATAGTTTAATTTCCTGGATATTAAAATTTAAATTCTTCTTGTTTTTTTTTTTTCAGTGAAGAAATTGAAATGGCCTTTAAACCTTTTGACTTCATGACCAAGATTTTTTTTTAAGTAAAGAAACACACACATAAAAAAAAAAGAATCCAGGTAACAACTATTTTATAAATAGGTGACTGTATTTTTCTTCATGTCCAGAAACTTATTGAGTAGAATTCAGGTATATTCTTCCAAAACCCACAGTCAGAGATTTTCTAACACAGGTTGACATTTGTACCAAAATGGGCAAGATAATGAAGGCACAGGCTCACTTAGTATCAATAAGGGACATCAAACACAGTCAAGAGGCACTAATGAAACATAAGCTTAGTCACAAAAAGCAAATGTTCGAAGTCTTCAGTAACTTTTCTCCCTTTAACATTTGGCAAAATTCAGTCTAGATATTTTAATACCTCAGAAAGAAAAAATAAATAAGATTCTACATTAAAACCTATAATTCATTTTTAGAAATATAAGAGATACAATGAAAGGAGGGGAATGCTGATTTCCTATATTCTTAGATTATCCTTCCTTTCTGAGGATCTCACATGTCTGTGCATCTGCAGAAATGCCAGCTCTAACTGAAGATTTATGAGTTTATAGATAGTTGCTGACATGGTCCCTCAACACTACTAAAAGTCTGTATCACAAAAACAAAAGCTATCTTGGTTTCTGCTTTTTAGTCCTTTGTTTTAAACTGCAAGTCAAATTTGATTATAGGTGACCAAAAAATTTTAAGTAAAATATATATTTAACTTCTCAATAAGAAACAGATTACATATTTAGACTTCAGTGGCAAATAAATACACTTTAAAGCCAAGCAAGTTCCTCTCTTCTATCTAACAAATAAGAAAAAGTCATTTTTTTTTATTGCTGATGACCACATCACTCATAGAACATATCAAGAACTAGTTTCACGATTTTAGGAGACTCTTTCTATGAAACAATATAAAAGATGAAGGTTTAACTTAAGTCTAAACAGGCAGAATAGACCTCCTATTACAAACATGACAAACTGAACAATAAAACAGCTGAATCTCTGTTTGCATCATAACCACCATCTATGTGATACGTAACTACTCGCTCTCTATGGGTTAATACCACCCACTGCAAGCCTAGAGATGGCAATCAATGTAGAATGCCACCTTACAATTAAGCCTGTGTCTACAATTGCAGAGAGAACATGGAAATGTTTCAGCCTACCCATAGTGCTTAAGTATGTTTTTAAATTTTTTCCTAGGAAATTAATTTTGATAGTATTTCCCAAATCCTTCAACTAAAGACATCCTGATAATTTGTCGGATACAACATGAATTCACAATTATTAATGTTTTTCAGTGACAACAAAATTTTGCATGCTTAAAAATTAATTATAAGTAAAAATAGAGAATACTTATAGAAGGATCTTAATAATTTGGTATTTGGGTATTCTTTTCTTTATGCTTTAAAAACAGCCCCTAATATTCTCTGACAACACAGTATTTATATATATTTATATATATATAAAGTTCATTTCCATGCTTATTACGTAAAAATAACTATCAGAAATATCAATCTATCAGTGTCAGCTGAAATATATCCAATTAATTCACTGCAGAAGGGAAAATAAAAATCTAAAGTAATCATTAAAGCTCACAGTTCAATTTTTTTTCCTTTTTTTGTCTTTTTTTTTTTTTTTTTGTCTTGTTTGAAATTTTTTGGTGGTTTATCTGTGCTGCTGCAGGCTGATTCCCAGATTAATGGCCTCCAAGGAAATTTGAAAGGAAGCCTGAAGACTTCTTACTTTGCTGTGCATCTGCTTCCTGGTCTTGTGTAAGTCCCAATTCATTCTCAATTTGATCCAGCTCTGACTGGTCAAGTAATTCAAAGTCATCACCTTCTTCAGTGTCTGTGTCCTCCCCTGGGCTGGGTGCAGCTTGAGCAAGTACTTGCTGAGCACTCTCTAGCTGGTCTTTAATAGCAGCAGTCACTGCAGCTGTGATGACATTCCCAGCCAGGTTGCTCATCAAGTGGAAAGTTTGGTCATTGTTCAGAGGAAGGGTGAGACCAGCTGCTGATTGTCTCTCTTTGCTTGGTCTGTGACCACTTTCCGGATGTTCCTTTTTTCTCTTGAGCTCAGTGGGCAAGCCAAGGCTTAATTCATCTTCATCATTTGTTCCCGTGCCATTTTCTAGAGATGGAAAATCTGAAAGATCTCGAGAGAAAACTTCCTCGCTAGGCCGGTCAAGATCTGTGAAGTGCATAATAGAAGTTCGTATTTAAGCACCAAAACAAATTTGAAATAAGAGCTGTCTAAAATCTGATTTTGATTTGAACTTTCCAGGCAACCTTGACATTAATCTAGCCTCTGGAGTCAACCTAAATCAATTTAACAACATATTGGACCCTTCTCAAATCTGTGACACTAGCTCTCCACAAGTACATAAATATTGTATGTCCATCTGTAGCTTTTAACTTGCCTCTTAAGCACAAAACATTGCAATTATCACTTAATATTCAGCTTGTCTAATATGAGCTTTAGGATTTGACTAAAGTTTAGGTGTTCATCGTGAAAATTCCATCCTGCCCCTAAAATGGGAATTATCTTAAGCCACTGGGAATATGCATGATCACAAAATTTAAAAATATGTGAATTGGAGGTATTCGTGGATTCTGATACATCACCTTTTGGATATTATCCAGCCTGAGCATTTCATACATGGAGATTTTCTTGCATATCTATAACCTGTGACTGTTTAAAGCAATGAAAAGAAGCTCCTGCCTTCTCTGTACCAGTTCAACCCAAGAGCTTATGGAAGCATTTGGCTCTCCATCGATATAGCTGAAACTAGCCATGCCAAGATTCGTGATATTTGTAAGCAGTGTCACATGAGGGATAGACTGATTTACTTTTCTTTTTTTTTTAAAGAGAGAGAGAGAGAATTTTAATATTTATTTAATATTTATTTTTTAGTTCTCGGCGTACACAACATCCTTGTTTGTATGTGGTGCTGAGGATCGAACCCGGGCCGCACACATGCCAGGCGAGTGCGCTACTGCTTGAGCTACATCCCCAGCCCCTGATTTACTTTTCATAGAAAATCTTTCAATGTAACAGTGAACTCCTTGCAAAAGTGTTTGGAAATCAAATCTATTAATGAAATCCCTGTATGTTGATTGGATGATTGTTGTCTCTTTTGTTACATAGATCTGAGATGGGATGGTTAAAACCAAGTGATTGTTTTTCTTGTCTTTAAAATATGACCTCAGTTGTAGATACCAAAAGCTTATAGACCTTGAGTGAACAAGAACCAAAAGCTTATAGACCTTAAGTGAACTTCACTGTTCCTCTTGTTCTAATGCACTTTAAATACGACAAAATTGAGGTCCACAAAAATTATGTCATCTGTTTAAGGTCATACAGTGAGCTACTAGCAAGGTAAGACTACACTTGGGTCTCCCAACCTCCAAACCCATCTTTCACACACTTCACAGCCTCCCTCCCTCCCTCCTATAGAACATGTATTTTGGGAAAGTAATTATAAAACCAGGTTACTTATCCTCTTCCATATAATCTGCTCATATGCTCAGTATATGGCTGAGACCATTGAAAAGAAGGTCCAATTGGACAATTAATCCAATGAAACTAGCAAAAGTTAAGTTATTGCACAAGCACTGACTCAACTTATGTTACGGATGGAATTTACATTATTAAATTCAATTTTTACTCTACTACTTTAAATTGCATTTTACCTAGCTATAAAAAACAAAGAGGCTTGATTAACCTTGAAGATAAACATGAGAAACTCTGGAATTGGCTTTACTCAGGGGAACTTGCCCTCCATACTTAAATCTCTTTTAATAAATACCAGGGCCAAATATATAAAATCAGCTTTCTTCTTTCCCTCTTCCCATTAATGCTACAAGGAATGCTGCCAGACATTTCATAAGGTAATTTATATATTAAAAAATTATATAAATATATATATATTTTCAAAAATTATGTATATACATAGTTTTCAAAATAAAGAGATTTTGGCATAGACATTTTTTCTCATGTTTCTTTAAAATAACCATTTTTGAGATGTAATTCACATACCATAAAATTCACCCTTTAAAATATACAGTGCAGTGGTTTCTTAGTATATTCACAAAGCTATACAATCATCACCATTAATTCTAGAACACTTGTATCACTCCGAAAAGACCTACTAATTAACACCATCTTTCTCTCTGCTAGTCCCTAGAAACCACTAGCCTACCTTCTCATATATGAACTTGTTTATTCTGGACATTTCTTATAAATGGAATCGTACAATATGTGGCCATTTGTTTCTGGCTTATCTACCTCCCCCATCCCCAATGCTGGGAATCAAACCTGGGGCCCATGTTGGGCAAGCACTCCATCTCTGAGCTATACCCCCAGCCCAGTACATTACTTTATTACAGACCAGTAAGATTCCACTGTAGAGATATACACATTTTATTTATCCATTCATGATTGACAGAAGTTAAATATTTTTACTTTTACTCCATAATAAGAAGAGTATCCAGAAATATGAGCATACCGTCAGAAGTGTCTGTCTGTGGAGTATAACCTTCAGAAAGGTTGAAGGTCCCATTATCAGTCCAGGATACTTCTGAGACATCTGTGTCAGACACAGATAACTCTTTGGCAGCAACCGTGAGGCTAATCTGTATTAACAGACATACCAGTAGCACATTTTAAACTGCAAAGGAAAATCTTATGAAAAACCCACACTAACCCCTGAAATGTCATAATAATAAAAACAAAGTTATGAGTATTTTTCTTTGAGATTGTTCAAATAAAATAGGAAGAAAAGTCTATCAGGAAATCATTCAGCCTTGATTTATGTAAATAACTGTACAACCAAACCACCCAAACATATTGAAAACTAAACAAAAATACCTTAGGACAAAGAGCTGAAAAGTCTAATTCACTGTCATCTTTGTGACTTTTTTCTTTTTCTGCTTCTGTTGAAAAAAAATTGGAAGCTTTCAGTTTCCTGTCGAGCTTAGACTTAGTGTATTTATTTTATCATATATTCTTACCCCATATTCCCCTTATTCTCCAATGCCTCCCTACCATTAAATGTTTGCTTAAGAAATTTCACATATTTGCAAGTGTTTGCTTTTCAAAGGAAACAGTACCTACTAGTGGTTCTCATAGCATGAACCAATATCATCATCATCTATCAATACAGATTCTTAGTCTACTGATTCACAAATTCTGGGTTGGGACCCACAATCTATACTTCCCCAGTTTGTCCAGGTGATTCTGATGCACATTATAGTTTGAGAACTTATAAGGTCATATACCAAGTTAAAATTTAAAAATGATCATATTGGTTTTTTTCTCTATCTTCCTTCCCCTGTTATTTCACTCCACTCTTATCCCTACCGATGCCATTTTTTTTATTTGCAGTTGTTCACCACATATAATAAATAGCAAGATAAAGAAATCTTTTCTCCCTCTCTTAAAATTTTAGATTAAAAAGTCAAAGTTAATTGTGTATTTGTGAAAAGAATAAAGCCTAAATAGGAAAAGGCCACATATATTATTTTTGGGGATTAGCTTCTATAATCATATTTAGTAAAAGGCTAAATGCACCCTGAAATGTAAAATGGCAATTTTGTAACAAGTAGCCTGCTAATGTCTTACTTGATGCATAGAATCTAAAATTCAAACGTTACCTACCAGATCTCTCTCGTTTCTTCTGATTAATATATTCTCCAATTCCAAAATCTAGTTTCAACAGAACTGACTTGATTTTGCTGTAGATTTTTTGTCCAATATCATTACATTTAAACAGTGGACACAAAAACGCAAACAGTACTGAAATATAAGAAGGAAGAGAATATGGGTAAAATGCACTTCCTTTCAAAAGTTTACATCTTAGTATTTCACAAAATACTGTTGTCTTTATTGAAAAATAGAATTCTTTTTCTTAGGATAATGCCTCTTCCTAATTAGGTTCATTTCCTAATTTCTATTCTTCCTTGTCATGAAATATGTTTTAGTACGTACATGTACACATACACACACACACACACACACACACACACACACACACACACAGGCACTGTTTTGTAGACTTGCAATCAGATCAACTTCCTCACCTTAATCCTTTTATCTTAAAATCTATAGAAAGGTTGTATGTTTTTCAGGCAGTGTCCTGAATTAAACTTCACCTCTGTTTATTTAATGACATTTTACCATGGGAAAGTTCTTGTTATCTATGATCCTCTCCTCAATAGCACTGGGGTAATAGTGTTGCTTGGGGTCGTTGTGCAGTAAAAGATGTGTGCAAATCCTCTGGAAAATACCTTGCCCATATTTCTCCTTCCCCAGCACTTCTCTTCTTTTCCTCCTAAACAATGCTGATGCAGTGGTTGATATTTTCTGAGAGTTCTATTTGGAAGATTGGATTTGAGTTCCAATCATTTGCCATTTGTGTTATACATTAGAAATACTATAAGAAAAAAGGATTGCCAAACTGAATGTATTATATTCCCTAGTGATTATTTCTCTGTTGTTCTTAGGAAATATCTCAATGCTGAGGAATCATGTGAATTTTAAAAGCCAGTGTAATAAAAATGGGAAAATAAGTAGGGAGTGCCTGCCCTATCAAAAGGTAGCAGTGACAGATCTTCATGTTTCAGGAAAAGAAGAAAATCTACACTTCTGTAGCAGCACTTTTGAAATATAGTTGACATACAAAGACTTGTACCAGCTAGGTATTTGTCAACTTGGTAAGCTCTGACATACATGTACACTGAGAAACCATCACCACAACCCATAGTGAACGTAACTACTACCCCCAAAGTGCCTTCATGTTTGTATGAACCTCCTCTTTTGCCTGCAGTCACACAACTTGACCATAGGCAACTGCTAACCAGCTTTGCCAATAAAGGTTACCTTTAATTGTCTAAAATTATATATAAATAAAATCATACAGTCAACTCACCCTAATTCCCACTCAACCTAATTATTTTGAGACTTATCCATAGTGTTTCATATATCGACTTTTAGTTAATGATTTTAATATACCACAGTTTATGCATTCATCTGGTTATATGGTCATATAGATTACACTCCACTTTTGGCTCCTACAAATGAATCTGCTATGAACATTTGTTTCTCTTGGATAAACACCTATCTGTGGGGCAGCTGGGTCATACATTAGAAACTGCCAAATTGTTATCCAAAGTGACTGTACTGTACCTACCCACAGTTAATGAGAATTCCAGGGGCTCCGTGTCCTTCCTAATACTTGATACGGTCAGTATTTTTAATTTTAGCCATTCTGGTGGAGGTCAATGAGATCTCATTGTGATTTTATTTTTTTGAACCACAGAACTCATACAAAGCAAAAAAGGTGTTGGTATATTGTGGGGGGGGGGAATACAGTTTTACTGACGTAATTTAACATAAAAATATTTACTTACGATCCTGGCTTTTTCAGCCATTCTTCCAATTTTAAAATATAAATACCTTTCTGGGGGGGGGAAGAGAAACTTTGTGCAGGAGATTAAAGATAATCATCTTGTTTTATAAGGAAGAACTCATTCCTCCTCTTCCAAACTATGGGAGGTCTACTGACCTCTAAATGATGACATGTGCATCATATAAATTAGCCAAATATTCTATTATACTTACACAGTAGATAGCTGAGTATAACCCCAGGAATGTAACTTCCCAAGATTGTAAAAAATGTGCACACACTGCAGACCAGGAGACAAAACTAGAAGTAATAGAAATAACAGGGGACAGTTATGCACAAAACTAAGACATTTGGAGCACAGAATACACATGCTATCATTTATCTATATGTGACCTATCAGATTATGGCAAATGGTTTCAAACAGCACTCTTGGTACACAAACATTCAACATCCTTAGTTCACTTTAACACTCATAATATATCATGTTGAGAGCAGAGGAGTTAATTTTTTGCCCTGAAAATGATGACTGTCATTACTCATGCCTGTGACTGTGTTACTGCCAGCTGCAAGAGATCTAAAGAGAACTGTATCCTAGAAACTTCTTTTACTCTGCCTCACTTAATGGAAGTAATGCAGTCAGATAATTAAGTCAGCAATTTTAAACTACAACTGTAAGCCCATCCAAATTTATAAACACAGCAAAACATGTTACAGAAATTAGAGGCATCTACACCAATCTAATTAATTTCACAGCTGGTAAACTAAGATAAACTATGGTCATTGTGATCCTCGTTCCTAATAGACTTCATCCACTTTTAGGACATCTAGGAACCAACTACAAATGAAATGAAACTCCTGCAGTGAATCTGATCACTTTCCTCCTGTCAGTTCAAAAAAAAAAAAAAAACTTGGTTGTTTTAAGAAAATTGTTTTTAAATCTACAGAAGATTTCCTTAATTCCCATTAGAAAGATCAAGACCAAAACAAATCTTATTAAAAAGTTTTCACTTGATTTCCACACTCCAGTCTTAACTATCTTCCTCTTCTTATGTCTTTATCTTTAAATGGAGGTATTAGATTAAATTGATAAGCAAGGAAAATTCATTAGTGGACTTTGTAGTAAGGAAAACAGACATGGGAGGAAGGAATACAAATCTCTGTTCAGTAACTGAATAAGAGAAAGCAAGGAGTCTAAATTTCAGGCTAACTTTGTTTTTCCATTCTTTGGCATAGTGTTTATAAGTTAACTAGCTAAAAGGAGTATAGAATTACTTGTGAAATAAAATTAACAGCAATTTCTGAAACATCAAGGGCCCTAGAAGAAATGTAGAATTCTAAAATTAAATGTTTGAGGAAGAGCTGCAGAAGTTGAAGGAACAAATATAATAGCATAACTATATCCAGAATTGAGTTTCGCAAAGCAATTTCTTATTATCCCTTAGATTTTGTAGCATCATCATCTTCAGTTAATGGACCTGAGGCACACTGATACAATGCAGGGCAGAAGTTTAAAGCTTAGAATCTTCTGAAATACCTTTAATCAGTTGAGTAAAATACCCACCAAAAATACATCATGCCCCTAATAGATATCTATTTTTAAAGTTACCTTCAATGATTAAAAATTCCCATTGGAAGACAACACTGCCATTCTAATATGCTCCAATTCTTTCCAAGCACAGTTCTATTATTCAATAATAGCAAAGTCATGAGACCTCTATACATAGTACAATGACAGGGATCACAAATGCTGACACTTGTACTCTTCATTCCAACCACCCGTGAATATCTAACAAGGCCTATTGGTGGTTCTGCAGTTCATCCTGACTACAAAGACTATCAGTGTGTGTGCTCTTGCTCAGGTCATTGCTTTCCAATCCTTTAGACTCACCCAGTGGGGTTTTTCTTAAATTAGGAAAACACTTGTTCCACTTACAAATCATAAGGAATGTTTTGGCTAAAAGTTTTATTTGTTAAATAAATAAACCATACAAGTCTCCAATTTTCAGAATGAAAGTGACACACTGTTACCTCTGAAAGTACCTTAAAGGACTGTGTGTTCAATTCATGTCCCTTTGACCTCAGAAAATGGGCCATTAAACATGAATGAAATTCTAAATAAGACATTTTTTTTCCTTCTTGGTTTGGCTGATACAGACTAATCACCATTCAATTAATAAGCTAAATAAATGTATATGATATATAATTTAAAAAAAAAATTTGGTACTAGGGATAGAACCCAGGGATGCTTTAATACTGAGCTACACTCCCAGACCTTTTTATTTTCTATTTTGAGACAAGATCTCACTAAATTGCTAAGACTGGTGTCGAACTTTCGATCCTGCCTCAGTCTCCTGAATTGCTGGGATTACAGGTATTGTGTACCACCACGGCCTAGCACATACTAAAGTTACTGAGCCCTTGCTGATTCCAGCTTTTCAGCCATATGTTCCCTGTGTATTAAGAATTAGAGAATGTTTATGATAAAAGCATGTGATAAATGTACATTGCACATTTAGAACACACTCTTGTACTAGAAAACTTGCCTTTCCAGGGCTCTGCTGTTTAAAAAGAGACATTTCTTGAAGAAATATGCTGAAATTCATCCATGATTCTGCAATACAGTGGCTGAGTCTGGGTCTTTCATCCGGTTTGGAATTGATGACTTCCCAGCTAAGGAGACGAAAAGAAAAAAAAATGTTTTTGGTTCTTAACAAAAAGTACAAGCTTTAGATGATTTACTCAACATCCATGGCTTCAGCAAATATTGTCTGAGCATCTACTGTTGGCCTTACTCTCTGGAAAAGCCCTGTGAATTCACAGATGAACCAGTCAGATACTTGCCTCATGAAGCTCATATGCCAAGAGAAAGAACCAGCTACACAATAAATCATCTATTACAATAAGGGAAACACTGAAGAGAGGAGGAGTACAGGGTTGGGGCTTTGGGATATTATTAACCAAGGAAGTCTATTTTGAGCTCATATCTGAAATGGATTAACAGTTTACCCCCGTGTTCTGATAGAAAAATGTAGATATATGTAGAGAAAGAGCTGGAATGGGAAAGGGCTAAAGTGCCACCCTACTAACCCTACTGTGGATCCAACAAAGAAAGTCAGGAGAAATATAACAAATAAAGCTCAGGAAGCAGGAGGTGAGCTAGATCATACAAGGCCTTGTATGTTTGTTAGAAACTTTTAAACTGTACAGATCAGAAAGACACAGTGCTTTTAAAGAAACTTAGGTACTAAGCATATAATCATTATTAATACTAAATACCAATAATGTATTTTCAGTATGTATGGTAGTTGGTCAACTACATAGACAACTGGTACACTCAACAGGATCTCACAATGCCCCGTATTTCTGAAGTATCTTTTCCTGATCATCATCTAGAATGTGTTGAATGTGATGCAGAGACCAGGCAGTGTGCTGTGTGTGTCCCTGCACTCATTTTGCCATGAGAATCTCAGTGAGCTAAAAGCAAGAAACAATCACTCCAGGAAGAAGACATATGCAAGTTCCTAAAATTATAAGGACTCTTGCAATAGTAACCCATATAAATATTCCAAGAACTATTAGTGAACTCTCATCTGAGTTCCAATTGTAAGGGCATCAGGATGAGGCTGAGCTCTGGCTTCAACCCCAATACCTCTAAAACAAATCAAAATGACCTTGGCCCATGATGTTCAACCTCACAGAAACTATATATATATAGATTGTTACTTTTTAATATATTTTGAATAGTAAAGCAATTTGCAAATTAATTAAAATTCCTTTTGAAGTGTAAATTTTAATCCAAGTGAAATAGCAATAAAAAAGGCAGGGGGGCAATATATTCCTTTTTTCCCTTTGCCTTTGCCTCAATTGATGCTCTGCCAGAGAGTCACTGAGCTATCAGTGGTCCAGAATGATGTTATTCCATCAGGTAGGGATTTGTCAAATGAGTTCCTGCCTGTCATGAGAAATGACCTTTTGGGGCTGCCTCGCTGCCCAGGAGTGTTGTGTAAGCATCAGCACTACGCTATCTGGAATCACTAAGTATGCTACTTCCACTGGTGGTCAAATCTGCACCAGGTTTGCATTCCTAGTAAGTGACTTCAAACTTCCTGAAATAATAAGAATGAATGACTAAGAAACCACTGTCTGTAACAAAATCTTGCCCATATATATGCTTCCTGGGAAAGGATTTTTATTTTACTGGAGAGCAAGAACTGCATGGCAAAGACAATATAAAGTTATTAAACTGTCGTCTTTCTTCTTAGACAACAAATCGGCACAGACTCCAGAAATACGGGGCATTGTGAGATCCTGTTGAGTGTGCTGTGTGTCCCTGCATTTTTTTTACATGAGAATCTCAGTGAGATAAAAGCAAGAAACAATCACTCCAGGAAGAAGACATATGCATAGACATATGGATATGTCTATGCATAGGCTTGGCTACTGGTCAGGTCAGTGGGCCACAATTCTTCATTTCTGCTTTCTGTGTTGGGAACATTTAAAGGTCCAACTGAACTATTTGGCAAATATATAATTCTAACCAAAATCATTTAAAAGCCTAATGAAAGGTTTTGAGTATCAAAACATTTTAAAGATTATTTTAAAGTATCTTTTAAAGATTCCTGATGCCCAGTACAATTCATTTTAAAACATGCTCTCTTCAAAGAAACAATAAACTCAAAGGCGTCCTTCAAAGAGACCACATTGTAATTCAGAATAAGAAGGAACACTTGATGTTCTTCCTGCTCCTCCCTAGAACCAGGGGGGATGGGGTGTGGCTGACCAACGTGGCATCATGTAGGACCAACCCTTTCCAGGAAAGCACAGCACTTCATGTGCAGAATCCAAACACTCAGCGGAAACTAAGATTTGTGCTTGGTGGTTGGTTGACGTTTAATACAGATGACGTCTGCACACACACAGAGTTGCTCCATAATGGGACTCTAGGTTTTCCTAGAGAGCCTTTCTTGGGAAACACATAACCAGAGAAAGGATCTCCTGTGAATACTGGACAAGATTTGGAAAGCAGGTCTTTCCCATGGCATGTGGCTATCTTCCCACCATCCTTGGCACTAATTGGTCTATAATGCAAGGCCCAAGTAACAAAGAAATAAAATACACTTTAGCCTTCAAAACAGTTTGAGATTTTACCAAGTTCTTAACCAAAAGTACAAGTTCTCTGTGATTGAAACTCATCTAAGGGAGAAAATCCTGTTTCCTATTAACATTGGCTCCTTACTTTCAGAGGGGACATATCATTTTCAGTGCAAAGGGAAATGAGGCTCATGCTCTCATAGGTCTTCCCTTCTGTTCACCCTCCTTCCAACTTCCTCTCACACTCACACTCTTGCCTTCATTAAGCAGGGAACTGTTGCACACTCCAGCCACAAGATAAGGACACAGGAGTCACTATTCATGGCCACCAACCACAACTCATCATACTCAGTGAGTCCAGTTTCMGTGGTACTCAGGGAGAAGTTCCTGTAGCTCCAGCCTCCTTAAGGCCACACCAGCTTTCACGTGGCCTTTGCCCAAGTACCAGCAGCTGCAAATGCTTCCCAGTAAAGGCTCTAGCAGAGGCCATGGGTTGTTTTCCTTCTTAAGAAAAACTGGTCAGGTGTTTTTGACAAAGGACATTTTGTAATCAAGATAAGCAATTATTTACCAAAGAAACCCAAGCCAGGGCAAAGTCCTTTTTCAGTGGCTGAGGAACATGGTCACCTGCCTAAGGAAGTAAACATTAGTCAGGTGGCTCCTCAGGCAAGCAGCCTCACTGTGTCCACACAAAGGACTTCAGCTTTCAGGTAAAATTTCTGCAGATCCCTGTTAGAATACAACTAGTTGGTAGTTTGGCCAAAGCAGACCTTTTGTGATGTTCATAAAACTGGGTGTGTGTAACACGGAGCTATTCAAACAGCACTGTCTGAGCCTTACTCAGGAGATTCTGGTGGAGCAGGTCTGGGTGAAGATCAGAAACCTTCGTTTTTAACAAGTATCCCAGGAGGTTCTGAGGCACATGTGAGAAACACCTGAGAGAAAATTTCCATCGAATTCCCATTCACAAATAAAAAGTAGGGAAACATGCTTCTAGGCAAGATGGTGTGGCAGGGACCTACCTGTTTTACCCTCCCTCCTGAAATAACCAAACACGTACAAAGGAAAAAAAAAACAGACAAAACAGATGAAGCAATGATGTTGAGGACCCTGGGCTTTATACAAGGAAGGACAGTGACCCCTGAGGGACAGGAAACCAATGAGGGAGTCTTGAGACCAGCTCCTGCCCTACAGGTCTCCAGGCCTCAGATAAGTGAAACCCACCAGGTCCCTGAGTTGAGGAGACAGAGTTGAGGGTCCAAAGAGGCACCCAAGAGACCAGAGTTGGCACAACACAAGATGAGGAAGTAGATGCTGTGCAGAGAGCAGGATCTGCAGGGGWGGCCCCTGGAGCCTTCAATGGGGACTGACCAGCATACATATTTGAAGAATATGTAGGAAGCCAGGAAAAAAGCCATTAGAAAGGACCAGAAGGATCAGTGCTTGTGCCAAGAATGACTCCTTGTCCCACCAACTATACTGGAAAACCTCATATTGGTGGAGTGTTCATCAGGGTCATGTCTCATTGCACAGAATAATCAGTTCTGAACTAAATGCTTCTTTGGTCCCACCTAGCAAGTCTTAAAAGCAAGCCCCAAAAGAATAAAACTTATTTTTTAAGTAATTCAACCATCATTTGTATGAATACATTGCATGAATACAAAGTGGTAGGTTTTGTTATAAATCAAACAACTCAATGGTCAAATAGAGATCTAAATGATTTTACTTTTTTTCTTTCATGTGTATCTTTTAAATCATTGTGCTTTAAAGATACAGTTACCAAAACTGAAAGATACAGTTACCAAAACTGACCTTTAAATATTGTATTAAAAGATTTGTTTCTCTGTAGTTTAATAGCTACACACATGAGTTCTTGGGCACTTTGTCCAGTTTCAGAATGCAGTGCACAGTACTGTCCATTAGAGGGAGCTAAACAACCAGGAAATGTGACAGTTGTACTCCTTAAAAACACATTGTCATTCTCTGAGAGGACATATTGTAGCAGCCTGATTCTTCTCTTTCACTCCAAGTGTCTTTGAGCACTTGAAAAAGATGCTGAAACAGATGAATGTTGGTAGGGGAAAAATAATGTCTCTTGGTATCCCCTCACTTCCTTCTGTTCATTTAATAAATAGACACATTAATTGTTACTAGGTACATTAACTGTTACCATTCCTAGCTCCAGATATTTAGACATGACAAAGGCACAACCCTAAAAAATACACTTATTTCTAGATGTGACCCAGCATGTGTGCACACACTCTCATATATGAAACTTACCTTTTTAAAATGGTACTTAATTGTATCTAGTGCTATTGAAGAAAAATAAATTTGAAAACTAAGTTGAGAATTGGATATGTGAAGGGAACCTGTTAAATACAAGATCTTTTCATTATAGTGCATTTTACAGGTAATACAGAAAAATGAATTGTGTAGTCATATCCCAGTGAATTTAAAAGTCTAAGTAATATAAACAGCTGAAAGCTATTTTTCAAAGCAAAATTTATATTTTTTAAATATATCAATGTTCAAATTCTTTTTTCTTTTCTATTTTTTTATTCTTATTTATTTATTTATTT